TGAGAGAGATTGAGAGAGATTGAGAGAGATTGAGAGTGAGAGAGAGAGAGAGCCTTACGTGCGCTGCGTGCCATTTTACGATGGAAAATAGTCGGTTTGTGAGAAGCCAACAACCGCTTCGCCTCTCACTCCGGCATTGCAAAGGGGATTGCTCGCCAGGAAGGAAATTAATTCGCCAAAGGCAAATTCAAGGCTACTGCTCATAATGCCAACAAGTACTAGAAGGACGGATAGTCTTGAAGTATCGATTTACGGATTTCCGGCTGAACAATCGACTTTTGTCCAAGCAAGCGAACATCATTGTCATCGGACGTGCATATTAGCCACTCACGCGCGCATCCCATTACCAATGCCGAAATGTCGAAATGTTCATAGATCTTGTGTACGCGTGCGTGCTGCATTCGTCAATTGTGCGCTTCAAATGCATTGCAGACGACAGTGACAGACTCGCCTCGACTCTACTATGCAACATTTCATATTCCTTTCGCGTCTCGCTCCCAATGGCCAAACCGCTTTCCCTAAAGGCCCCGGCCGAGTAGCCATTATTAAAGCGACTACCGGGAAAACGGGGGCCGGACATAGGGCTCCTCTATAATTTATAATTTCGCGCCTCCGTTCAGTTTTGATGGCCGTCCGATTGGGGGGGGGGCGGGGGCGGGGGTCCGACCCGAGTAACGTGCCACTCGACGTTTACGGATAGTCGGTGAGCAAAATTAGCCGCTCCGGTAATGGAAGTTTATGAATGCCGTGATAGGGGTCTCGCGCGCCGACTCGGCTATTTTAATTATATTCGACGTAGCGAGCGATAAATAACAGTCCTCGGCTCGCATTAATGCCGAATCTTTTAAAAATACACGTACTCCCGAGTTGGGCACTTGTCTGGTCGCACGCTTAGCTCGCTTAACTCGCGCGACCAACTGAACTTCGTCGCTCCGCGTGAAAAGCCACGGAGTTGAGTTTCGTTATACGAGCGCAAGCTGCGAATTGATAAATAGTCGAATGTTTGTTGTTTAATGATGGCAAGGATAGTTTGTGACGATTGTTAAAAGCCGCAATACGAGCTGCCTCTTTGTTTATCCTCGATCGCTGTTACAATGAAAATTAATAATTATTGAAATGAGCGATGATAAGAGGTTTTATTATATGAATTTGCGTCGCGGCTCTCGTTACTATTGCACAATTACGCTCGAGCGAAGATTTGAAAAGTGCTGCTTTACCTCGTCCAAAAATCCAAATTGCAAAAATAAATTTTGTCGTTTGAGTGTTAGGGCATGGACGGGCGTAAGGTGCGTAAATACGGAGATGGTCGATCGTGGCCGGTAAATGATGAAAGAAATTCGTAAAGAAACGATTTAAATGCGACGGTGGGGAGCGGATTAGGGAGGAATGATTTTGTAGAAAATGCCGACAAATGATAATCGGACGAGGGAGAAAATTTTTTGTAATTTTTTGTCGGTGAATGATTTCGTAAGAGCAATAGCCACCACACTACAATGTAATTATTGTCTTAAATTTGCCGCGCGCGCACACATTCGATATTTCTTCTTAAGGCGAACGGGGAGAGCTGGAGGCTCGAATTTTTCTTTCGAAAACATTGAACGCTATGAGCTCTGTGGCACGATTATTATGCCTGTTTAAAGAACTTTACGGTCCTCGTAAACTATTGATAGTCTTCGTATTCGGGCCGACGAAAATTCTGGAGGATTCTTCAATAAGACGCTCGCAGTCGCGAAATATTTATAACCGCTATTACAATAGTGAAATAATTGACAATTTAGAAGAGAGTATTTCAATGCGCGACATGAACGGCTAAACGAAAGGATGAAAAAGAAATATATGTTTACACTTGATAATAAGTGCCGAGCGTCGTTCGTAGTTGAAATAATGCAATTACATTTCTACAATAATCGAACGGCCAAAGCCACGAGCACAAATATTGGCAATTTTTTACGGGCTGGCCGATAGTGCCATAGTCAACCGGATATTTTCGCATTTCAAAGTGGCAAAAACAAATGCGCCCGAGTGCATTTAATAAAACGGCACTAGAATCAAAAGAAGAATCCAACGACAATGGGAATTGAAATACGTAAAATGCAGGCGTAAGTGCCTTATGATGAGTCGCACAATCCAGCGATGAGGCACGGCATAATTCGTCGTATGCCGTTCCCCGTTAAAAACGCTTACTTACAATAAATAAGGCATTTAAGTATTTGACGGTCGGCGGAATTATCGGTAGGAGGGCCTTGCAAGCCAATAAAGATACCGAAGCGAGGATAAATAATTCGTTAACCGGGTTGAAAGCACTCGGAGCAAGCTCAGCGAAATTAAGGAATTGATAAGCGAGGATCGTCAAAGAGTTCGAGGCGAGAAATCATTCCCTCGTCACGATCTCCCAATCTCTTTCGTTGATCCGCCGATCGGTCGTACTTAGAGAAGCATACGTAGGACTTGATCGGGCGACGCGCCTGCCGATTCAATCCAATCAATGCGAGCAATTACGAGATTTATGGCTGGGAGAGTACCGGCGAGACGATTCCTCGATTATCGTTCGGGAATCGCGAGGAAGGAGGAGGACCCTCACGCCTTATATAATTATGGACATACAAAATGAGAAGTAGTGAAAATAAGAGGCGCGCCATTTCCGCTCTTGCCCAATGTTCGGCAAAGTATTTGCAAATACAATTAAGTTTCCGGATACAGCTGCATCGACGGCTTAACCTCGCCTCCCAGGCGGCATTCGGCGATAAGCTCTCGCGAGAGCGAATAAATCATGATTTCAGGGGCAAGGTATTAAGAGCAGGGCGATCGTGGCTCATGACAGCGAAGGGAGCGTGGCGAGAGAGAAAAAAGAGAGAGAGAGAGAGAGAAAAGAGAGAGAGAGTGAGAGAGAGAGTGAGAGAGTGAGAGAGAGAGTGAGAGAGAGAGAGAGAGAGAGAGAGAGAGAGAGTTACTAGCGGAAGATGAATGGTAAAAACGGACATACCTTGGCTCCGATTTGGTTGCCGCATTGACCCGCTTGTAAGTGTACGATTTCCCTCATGGCGTCGACGTCTGCTTATGACCCCTGATATCTACTACGTGTCGTCGTGGTCGTCGTCGACGTCGTCGTCAGCGATTCACGATTTCTCAGCCTCGGCTTTTTATTGATATTGATGTTGTTGCTGCTTCTGCTGCTTCTGCTGCTGCTGCTGCTGCTTCTCAACTCGAAGTCTCGAGCGCGAATGACGAGGCCCGGCTTAGTCCGGCCCGCTTCTTTATGTGTGCGCCTCCTGGTGAACGGCCTCCGCGCTTCGAGGGAAGTCTCCAAAGGCGACGCACTGCGCAAGTGCCAAGCGCGATAAGAGCCCGATGCGCCCCCCGCGTCAACCGGCTCGCGGCATTATTATAGAAATAATTTTAACGGCTTTTATTTTGCCACTCCAACTGCCCAGTCCAACTATTGTTTTTGCTCGATTTGCTTAAAAGCGCCTCTGGTACTTTCGTTTCGTTGGCTGTGCGCGGGCGGCAGTCGGGAACAGCGGCGGTCGAGACGACGAGCGGCGATCGCCGGGGGGTACGAGGGGAGGGTGACGGAGAAGCAGCGATCGTCGGGGATAGAGGAGAAGGAGGAGGGAGAGCGAACGAATAACCTTTTCGCCGCTGTACTTTCTAATACACACGAGTCGTCTGCATTGTGAAAATTTCATGTATTTGCCTATTTGTCTCGCGTCGGAGGATCGAAGGGGCTCCACGCGAGATTCGTAAAATATTTATTAGCCAAGAGGATGAAATAAAACATTGTTAAACTTTCGTCACGTAACTGCTTTATTATTGTTAAACAAGCGCTTCTTGTATCGCTGAGGGAAACTGTGCGCAATTTATCTGAGAATAAATTTTCCTCTCAAGACTCTCGATACGATTTACTATTGAAATCAATGTGCCATCAATTGAATTAAATTATTTCGCAGAGATAATGTACATTTTTCCTTAATTTGTCAACACCTTTGCATATATAATTAGCCGCTTGGTAATTTATTTTTCCCTTTTAATTTAAATACGTCTTAGGAGCATTACATTTGTCAAAATAAACAAGCAAATGGCTGTTCTATTTATAACATCATTTTAAAACGATGAAAAAAAAAAAAAATTCTAATCTATTTGTTAATTGTTGGTTTAAGCTAAGAAACGCGTAGAATAAAAACTTAATTTCCATTATTTAATAAATATTTCAAAACTATTGCCAATATTATTTTATGGATTTAATTTTTATACATAAGTATACTTGAATAATTCATAATTTGTATACTTTATGTGGGAAATGAACGAACACTTTCCTCTTCTTTTATAATTTCAAAATCACAAATTTATAACTTGCAATTAGTTCTAAGAGTCTGTATTAGTATTACTTAATTATGTTTTCCTTACCTTTAAAAATTCTTCGCGTATTCAAATAATTTAACGGAATTTCAATTTGCTTAAAACTAATATTAAACAATATGATATTTTGCCGACAAAAATCTACGTGAAAAATATCATTCGACAGGATATTTTCCGCCTCATTGTTGTAACGTTAAAAATTAAGCGAAAGCTGTTCTTAGCATTATCTGATGTTATTAAAAAAAAAAAAAAAAAACAAATAGATTAAGAGACCAATTGAATTCGTATTTGAAATTTAATCAAGAATAAAGCTCTTCTCTTATGAATTGTAGAATTTATAAAAATTGTATTGCGATAATTAGACGCGGTAGTGCACCGATGCAAAGCACTCATATACAAATGGCTTAAAAATGTCTTTGAATAACCCCTAATAATTAGTCTCGCGCAAGTGCAATTGATTTTTCTTTAATGTTTTGCCAAGTGATGTTAAAGTGTCGTATTTTTGCCGCCGCTTCTCGCTTCTTTACTTTTGTGTATATTTTCGTTTATGTGAAAGCATAGCAAGAAAGCAAGCAAGCCCTTCGTGACTCATAAAGAACATTTTTCCAAAAAGTACTTGAGAATGGAAAGTTAACGTATTAACATATAAAAGCATTTTAATGCATAAACACTTACTAGTGCATAATCGTTCGACTAATTAATTGCCTTATTATTTATTTTTCTTTATTCCATTTAATCAGCCCAACGTAGTCCAGACTAACAATTAATAAACTATAAACTAAAAATATTTATAAATCTTCGTTATATAGCAATGGCAGTTTTAATAAGTAACTTTTAATTAAGCTGACGATATAAAGCACTCACCTTTTTTTTTTTTTTTTTTTTTTTTTTTAAAGAATTTATGGGGAATAAGGATGAGATAAACGAGTTAAAGCTCGCTATTATTATCAAACCTTAAGCAACAAATTCAGGAGCAGAGGTTCGATTTCGTTGAAGCGAATTGTCAGAGTGGGAGAGAGAGCGGAGTAAAAGACACGGGAGCCGAGCATTGGCTACGTTCACATCCCTCTTGGGCGAGAAAAAGATATTAAATGCACAGGGCCGTAGTGCGCGCTCGTGCTTCATTTCGTCGTACGAGCTCGTTCGAGCTGAAACTTATCTTACCCACTTGAGATCCGGGCGACTCTTCTATTTTGCCAACTCTCTTTCTCTCCTCTTTCGTCTTCCGCTTCATCTCCGTCTCCGGCTTATCCCTCGGTCTTGTCTCCTCTGCTTGCGTGCTGCTACTCGACCCTTCGATTTACTGTGCAACCAGGAAAAAAACGCCGAGTCTAACGCATGTCGAGTAACGAACGAAGACGGCGAGAAATGGGTGGGGAGGTGGAGGTTTGAAAAAACACTACTGCACAGCTCCGAGACATTAAAAGTCCGAGTATGAGGAAAAGATGTTGCAGCCGCTACGGTTGCTGCTGCTACTGTTGTTCCTTTATCTTAAAACACTTCCTCATGACCTGAAAAACCTCGGAAAAGAGGTTGGTTTGTCGATTTCGTTGCCGGAATTTCCGCTTACTAGGCTAATTGAACGTAATTCCTTTTTCCATGGGATTCGATAATCAGAAAAGTCATTTATAATTGATAACACTCAATAGCCCATACTTTTCAATTATGTAGTTTTATTTTTGATACTATGCACAATATCTATTAACGAATCGCTTAAACTATTACTTTAATTGCATCTAATTCTTTCCAACTTGTTAGAAAATTCTCATAAATTAGATTAATCAAATTTAATTATTATAATTAACTAAGAACGTTAATTAAAATTCCGTAAGCTGATTGATAATTATGTTACGTTTTTACTTTTACATTGATACCCCCGCCTCCCCCCCCCCCTCCCCCAAACTATTTTAATTATTCTAAAGTTGAACGACTTAATGCTATCGTCAACAAAATTTGAAAGTCTTTCATAATGGCTATAGCAGCATTTGTTCAAAATTTCCTCGTTTTCCCATACCATACAATGGCATAGGGGCAATAGAATTTTTGAAAAACACAACTGCCATAGCTTGTCCAAAATTCTATATCAATGAATAACTCCATTAACGAATAAATCTTTACAAATATATCGAAACATTTATTGACCCTCTGACCATATTTATTAAAGGAAGCACATTGTTTGAAATTACGCTCATCAACCTGACACGATGCATTATCAACGTTAGCTGCAAATACAATGTTCAGTAGAAGATAAATAATATCCTAGATTTTAACATTACTTATCTAAATGTCTTATGGTTATATAAGTAATAAATTACTTTATAAAACATAAGTTAAGTAGGTAAGATTGGTTAGAAACGTAGACTACTCAAAGAGACAAAAATTAAATTATCGAATGAAGTTGAGTGTAAAATTTCTTTAAACAAAATTTCAGACGTAGATAATGCATATTGTCTTTATTTAAACAAGGACACTCGTATACGTTACGAAATTAAACTTTACATGTTTTATAAAATTCTATCACTTTGTATTCTTTTTTTTTTTTTTTTTTTTTTTTTTTTTTTTTTTTTTTTTTTTTTTTTGCTTTTTATTATATAGATTATAGTGTGAATAAAATGAATAAAGAGTAGTAATTAGTTTATTGCCTTTACTCAATTTCATATTGCATTGCAAATTATACTAGTAGTTGTCAAAAAAAAAAAACTAATATACACTTATTTTTTATTGATAATGATTTCTGGAATTTTCATTGATTATGATTAAAATTATAAATATGCATTATATAATATTATTTATTAAAGAATATTAAGATCGTTTATATATTAAACCGCGGAGATTTCTACAATTTTCAGTAAAACACATATTTACACCCATTAATCAGTATTCTTTTATGTCACTGTACTTACAGATATGATTAATATCTTATTTAAAGAATCCGTCATCAACAAGGCTTAAACGTTCCTTTAGAAAATATAATATAACCAGAGTTAAAATGCTATTTATTTATTTATTAGAAGTAAATTGTTAGTTAGGTAACTGAAATGCTTATACCGCGAATAAAATTTCCTTTCAAACAAAACAGCCACGTTCTTAAGCGTCAAAATATATTCGTAAAAATTCTAAAAAAAAATCGATAACTCCGTTGAGGTACTTAAAAAGTAATTACACTACATTTTATAGCTTTCGTCACCAACTGAATTTTAACAATGAATTCATGGATCCTGATTTATTTTTGTAATATCTCGAGAACTTTCTTCGACGAAATACGTCGGTCCCTATCAAGAGTGATTATATAGTGCATTAGAGGCTGAAGTCATCGGGAGTTTTTTATTTTTCATAATTCGAGAAATTGGTGCATCTGCAAAGTAATTTTGTGTCTAGTAATTATTGCATGTGGCATGCATAAGACAGAATAAACTGCATTCCAGTTCTTATAATTTGCAATTTCAATGATTCTTGTTAATTTAACGGTTTCTGCTCTTTTTCCTTATTATAGTGAGAACAATCGACGTACTTGTAACTTTACCACATAAAACTACTTTGTTTAAAATTAGAAAACTTTCGATATGACGTAGAGCCTGAAACAGAACGAAATGATAACTCATTTGTATGAGATTAACTGATTTTTATGAATTATTATTCTACATCACAATATTTATATATATATATATATATATATATATATATATATATGAAGTAGATATGCTTTGTTAATATATTACAACACCAATACTCTCGTTAATTATAATTTCGTTGAATAATAAAAAAAAACAGAATGATAAAAATTTAAATCTAATTTTGTTTGCTAAATATTTTCAAAGGTAATAAGTTATATATTTTTCATTATTTAATCATACAACTATTTATATAATTACGATTCAATATATTATTTATATATAATTAAATGAAATTTTGAAATGATTCAATGCTCACTATTCCAAGACATTCAAAACCTTATTTCTATTTCGATTTTTCATTACACCTATAAGAATTTTGTTTATATCTATATATATTTACTTATGAAATATATACTTATTTTAATACTGAATTGAAAGAATAATAATTTTTCAATAAAGTCCTTAATAAAGCCAAAGACCAAAATAAATCTGTAGCGCAACTAAATAATAAAACTAAATTATAAATAGCACGTACGTTGTTAAAAATATTAAACAAGACATTTATATTTCCAAAGTCAAGTATAGCATAATTAATTTATTAGCGTTACTTCTGCAACCAGAAATTTCAAAAAATGTCCACATTTAAATATTCATTTTAGTTATAATTAATTTACACGTTCTCTATAAATTATAATTGCAATAATTTTGTACAAAAATCAAATAAATTAATTATACAATACTGAGACGATATTCTATATAGTATATATAGTAAGTATACATATTCTATATATATATATATATATATATATATATAGAATATATATATATATATATATATTCTATAAGCATAGGATTTATAATTTAAATAATCGAGTATCATATTTTTAGGAAACGTGTATCACGACATTTTATTCTATTTCAATAATTTCGATAAGAAGCCGTTTAAATGAGCTTTGCAAACGACTTCCATGAAAGTCCGAAGGCAGTTAGATTAACGTTTAGAAATTATCTTTCTCGTCTTGATGAAACCTTTTACCACCCGAGTAGCCGAGCATAGTTCAATTATCATTCCGTCGATATAATCTAGTTCGACTCGAAATAAGACATAGATTATAAATCGTAAAAGATAAATTCATGTAATACTTTCTACAAATTTAGTATTAAGTAAAAAACACGTTTATTCTTTTAATCGAACATTTAGATAAATTCAGATAAATTAAGATCGAAAAGAACATTAAATGAGCAACATTACAAATTATATTATTGAATTGTGTATAATCTTATCCTTAACCGTTCTCATAAAAAAAAAAGGTTGTTTTTTCAGAAGGTTGTTCATTAATAAGACGACCCCTCGACTTTCATATTTATCTCTAATTTAAAATGGATTTTATGAATTTTATTTAAGAGTTAATGTAATAAAGCATAATATATCTAAATCAATTAAATGCAAAGTATTTCTCTCATATTAATTCTCATATTAATCGAAAGTGAAATTAATTTTTTTTAATTAACAACTTATGTAAATGATACGAGTGCACTTCGTCAAGCGTTTATTTCTTAATTAACAAGCACAAGATTTTTAAAACTTGCGACACGAGACAAGTATTTTTAATCTGTTAATATTAACGCTAATTACATACTTTTCAAATTCGAATCTTTTATTATTGAATTGTATTTAAATTTTAGATTTAATTACTATTAAAATATAATAAATTGTAATTATACGAAAAAAAATCATCAAAATTAATGCAATTCTTGACACTGGTTTCTGTTTAATTTTTCCACATTGAATATAAATTTATATATTTATTCTTATTACATTGACACTTGGATTGGAAATTAATTATTATAGACAATGATTCGAACCTCTTAACAAGTAATGCGATACTTCTTTAAATTAGCAACGTGTGTTGCAATTTTGCAAGGATAATTTTTACACGTGATTTCATAGTCATAAATAGGAATAATAAATCGTAATATTGGATGGATGACCGATAGAGAAAATAGTAAGATTAGCTATTAAAATACCTACGGCTTAAGTGAATATGGTGTACATAGTAAATCAAGGCATATAAGGCAAAATAAAAAGTTATGCAAATTTACTAAAGTATTTGAATAAATGGCGTTAATAAAAATGTACAACAATAATGAGCTATGAATTTTCAGGAATTCTTCGGTATTTCTTCGATAATTTATGTTCTATATAAAGACTTTATTGTTCATCCACATTTCTTATAAAAAAATGTTTATAATCATTTAATACATTAAAAAACTGAATATTATCAATTTAATATCTTTAATAATTATCTATTATCGCTATTTGCTTGGCATCGTCAAATTTTAATTTCATCAATATTAAATATACCTATTAAACATATGTAATACATAATCTACAATTCCATCGATGATGTACAAAATTTTTGCACAATTAATTTTGTTGTTTTTATTTTATTCTAGTAAACTTACCTTAAAATTGGCACTTCCTAGGGGCTTTATTTCCCTTTTCTCCAGTACAAGAACCTATATATTTTTATTAAAGCATTTTAAAAACAATGAAACACAATTTTTAAGTGTTTGAGTTTAATTATTGAATAATATATTCGGTTAACAATATAATGTAAATTTGTTTCCATTGCAGTGCATGATATTACGATTATATATAAAAATTTATATCAATTGAAAATTAATTTACTCGATGTGGTATATTGTTTTTGATGAAATAAACATTAACATTAAATCTTAATCAAAGTTAAAAAGAAAACTATATTATTGCGTGTATAAAGCGAGCGTTTTAAGCCTTTAATACGTAATAACAAATTAAACGAAAACAATATATCTTAAGGAATTTACGTATATTATTGTGAATTATGTGGTTGGATTATATTATTGGACCTCTTTAAACCAAATCAAACACCATATAATGTAAAAATTAAGCATACACTAATTTATATAATTTAAAAACGTGTTTGTTTCATTTATATCTATTTGTGTGTGTTCGTGTCTGTGTGAGTGTGTGTATACATAGTTTATTTAAATTTCTTCAATTTGCTTTAAAAGAGTAATTAAATTTAGACTTATGGCTACAAGTTTTACATATACACAATCCGAAGCGAAGTAAAGCTTAAAAAAATAAACCAGCAAAAGCATTAAAACATAATAAATTTGTATATATTAAAGTTTCATGTAAATCTTACAATTGTGAGGAATAAAACATTTTGTTTCAGGCTTGGATAGTAGACTAATCCAGAAAATCACATAAATAAGTGAAGGCAATAGTAGATGGCGAAAGGGTCTTTTAACAAAGGCAATATTTCAGATAATTAAATGGCAAATAAAAAGATATTATAAATAAGTTATGAAATGGTGATGCACATTATTATGTACCAATTACATTGGCAAGTGATAATTTGAAAAATGTCGGATGAGAAAATTACGCCACTTTTTCTAGTTGTTAAGTACAAGAGAATTTGATCAGGCTGCCTCGACATTTCGATAATATTCTAATATGAAAATTCCAATTATTATGCTTGTCCGGGGCTTATCACCATCCCCTTTAAATGCATTTTCTCGCAATATAGCATAAGAAACGACATTAGTGCATTGAGGATGTTTGCAAAAAAGGGCACGTGGGTCGTAATTCGCCTTATTTCGCTTGGAAATCTTTAGCTAATGTGGCCTTACGGTAATAATAATTATAAAGCGGCTAAAAGGTGGTACAAGAAACGCACCACATACAATTGATAGATGTATATAGCGTGTATTTCTCCACATATTAATTAAAAAGGATTCGACGTACACAAATTACTATGTTAGTATTCCATGGAAATATAAACCACCGTACGTACACATAGCCGCCTTGTGGCGACCTCCATTGCAAACCCCACATGGTACAGCCATCTATCGGAAGTAAGTTTGAACTACATCAAACGTCCATCTACCGTCAATGTCGCATCGGACATTTAACTGCAAACCCACCGAGGCTTGGGCTCTCAACGCAGCCGAGGCAATATTCAAATTCCAATGAATAAATCAATTTTTCGCAAAGGTTGACCACATTAATACGATAAAAACTATAAAAAAATAAAAACAAATAAGAAAATTTGTTTGAGCTGTTTTAATGATAATTTACTGGACAATTATAAAAATTATACTACTGAGTCTTAACATCTATAAATATCTCTTTAAAAAAATAAAAAAAAATCTGAAGTCACTGATGGAAAAGTCGGCTCATTTAAAAAGATAAACAAATATAAATAAAGTTTTTGAACGCTTTTCACTAAAAGGAATAATTTTTTCGTAATACTCCATCGCCGGCTGGAAAGAAGAGTAAGGTGATAATTTTCGATCCCAAATTATTTGCTTGTTAATCAAATGTACCTTTATTTGATAAGAATTTATGATTAAAAGATGACATCAGCGAATGCGGTGGCGATTTCGAGTCGTAGGCGCTATACAAAACAATCTCTAAAATATACAACGAAACCGCGGTAATTCTTGGAATTGATTTTTGTTAGTAACAAAAGACCGCTTCAAATACATGGTACAAATTGATAATGTTCGACGATAAAGAGTCCAAATTAGTCAGAAAAGTAAATTCGAAAACAGAATAACGATAGGCAAGAAGGACAGAGGGGCGGGGTGGTGGGTGGATCGGTCGGGGAGGGGGGGGAGGGGGGGGGGGGTCGAGAGGAAGGAGGGAACGAGGAGCGCGCCTCACGGAGATTCGCAATCAAGTGCATTATAAACGTAAAAAATATTAACAAACGCAAAATGTAAAATAGGAAGAAAGATAGATGGGAAAATAAAATACAGTCGGAGAGAAAGAGCGAGGCGAAGTTAAGAAGCAGGTTTTCCAAGTTTTCCATTTTTTGTGTGTGCATCTTTCTCTCTTGGCGCGTGTATGTGTGTGTTGTGTACGTGGTAGAGGGAATCCCTATATCTATCCTCTAGTCTAGCTCTCGTCAACTTCTTGCTCGGCCTCTTCGTCAAACTCCGCATCCTCGTCGGCGGTGGCCTCCTGGTACTGTTGATATTCGGACACCAAATCGTTCATGTTCGACTCGGCCTCGGTGAACTCCATCTCGTCCATGCCCTCTCCCGTGTACCAATGCAAGAAAGCTTTCCTTCGGAACATGGCGGTGAATTGCTCGGAGATGCGCTTGAACAGCTCCTGGATGGCTGTGCTGTTGCCGATAAAGGTTGCCGACATTTTCAAGCCACGTGGTGGAATGTCGCAGACGGCGGTCTTCACGTTGTTCGGTATCCATTCGACGAAGTACGAGCAGTTCTTGTTCTGGATGTTCAACATCTGCTCGTCGACCTCCTTCATGGACATGCGACCACGGAAGATAGCGGCAACCGTCAAGTAGCGTCCGTGTCGCGGATCGCAGGCCGCCATCATGTTCTTGGCGTCGAACATCTGCTGGGTAAGTTCGGGTACCGACAAAGCTCTGTATTGTTGACTGCCTCTGGAGGTCAGAGGGGCAAATCCGGGCATGAAGAAGTGAAGACGAGGGAAGGGCACCATGTTCACAGCGAGTTTTCTGAGATCGGCATTCAACTGTCCAGGGAACCTGAAATACCAAACGATTTACATACATTACTCATCCTCTTCCATAGGCTTTTCCTTCAAAATTTATCGCTACGCTAATACCATATGACGAATTCGTTTTCCGCAACAATTTTAGAATGTAACCAATTATTTAGAAATATTTTAGAAACCGAATGTTCGAATTGATAATAACATTATATTTTAATATTTATTCGTTACTGTCTCGAGGAATATAATAGCATATAACATTTACATGAGTCAAACATAATCTATTGATTATGACGAATAAATGAATTCTTGTGTCTTTATGGAGGAAACAAACCTGAGACAAGTTGTGACACCGGACATTGTGAGAGAAACAAGATGATTGAGATCGCCGTACGTGGGCGTGGATAATTTAAGCGTTCTGAAGCAGATATCGTATAATGCTTCGTTGTCAATGCAGTAGGTTTCGTCAGTATTCTCGACCAGCTGGTGGACGGAGAGGGTGGCGTTGTAGGGCTCGACAACGGTGTCGGAGACCTTGGGCGACGGGACGACCGAGTAGGTGTTCATGATTCTGTCCGGATACTCCTCGCGGATTTTGGAAATGAGGAGCGTACCCATACCGGAACCGGTTCCTCCTCCCAACGAGTGCGTCAGCTGGAAGCCCTGGAGGCAGTCACAGCTCTCGGCCTCTTTGCGCACGACGTCGAGGACCGAGTCGACGAGTTCGGCGCCCTCGGTGTAGTGGCCCTTGGCCCAATTGTTGCCGGCGCCCGACTGTCCGAAAACGAAATTATCCGGGCGGAAGATCTGTCCGAACGGACCGGATCTAACCGAATCCATAGTCCCGGGCTCGAGATCCACGAGGATAGCCCTAGGTACGTATTTGCCGCCCGAAGCCTCGTTGTAGTAAACATTGATCCTCTCGAGTTGGAGATCGCTGTCTCCATGGTAGGCACCAGTCGGGTCGATGCCATGCTCGTCACTAATGATTTCCCAAAACTGCAAAAAGAAACAAACGACAAATGATTGATTAAACAAATTTAAATCTCGTTCTCGTTCGATTCACTTAACTAATTCACGGTAACTTCTAATAATAATGTTAATGTATTTAATCGTGAAGATGAATGATGTGAATAAATATTCTTATTAATAATTTCATTTTAAATTTTCAACAATGGCTTGTTTGATTTGCATTCTTAAATTATGAAATAATAACTTAACATAACGTATTAATCAATATATGGATCGAATCAAATTGTATCGAATCAGAATACATTTGCTTTTATGTTTTACAAAATCAACCATCGTATCAGCATTTCATGATAATGTGTGAACGAACGAACATGTGACAAATATAGTTCATGCGTTTCTTTAAGCTACAGATTGGCATTAAACTTCTTGAAATAAGAAAAAAGGAGAAAATATAAACGAAGTAATGATTCATGCGTCTAAATTAATATCTGCTTATAAATCCGTAAATGAGTAATACTTTCAGCGCTGTTACAAAACATCTTTTCGTGATGACGTATTTACATTAACGTATCCCAAATTTTCTAGAAATTCCAATTTTTCACATTGTTTTATCAGCGCGTAATAATACCTCGGCCTCTACCATCCCTAAAGCCAAAAACAAACAAAAAAAAAAATGAAAAACAAGGCATTATTATCGATGAGTCCGACCAACATGGTGAACTATAAAAAAAAGTACCCTCCCCCTTCCCCACTTTCTTCACAGCGGTTAATATACTCAAACTACATTTATTGGTAAACGCAATGGCTCCTCTTTGACTTTGAGTCGATTGTCGATAGGGAGGAGGGAGTCGTAGGGTATGAGTGGAGGGGGCTGTTGCTCGTGCGTGCATTCAATTAGTGGCGAGATCGTAAACACGACGTAGTTGCAATATCCTCGGCGAGGCCAAGATCCGGTAAAGTCGCACTCGACTGGCAATTGGGACCAATTACCGTCTCTTCTCCTGGCCGAGCTGCGCATCCGTCCGCGACGACCGGACACGCACACGTAACCAGCGCGGACCGACGTCGCGGTTCTGGCTGTTGCTGCTGCTGCTGCTCCCTCCTCGTGCTCCTCCTATCATCACGACTATCGCTGTTGGCGTTCAAAGAGAGTAAAAAAGGAGAGGAAAAGAAGGAATAGGAGGTGGCGGCATATACCTCCGGAGGTGCTGACGTGGGCAGTTTCTGTCTTGCGCTTAATGAGGATATGATGGGAACAGCAGCATCCATATATCATCGCGTAGAGCATTCTTCGCTGATGGTCGTTGGAAGGGAAAAGACGAATTCTAAAAAGGTCTGTTAGCAATAATCATTGCGGAAATAGGCCTCGCGGATATTATATATTGACTTGCTGATTTCATTATAATGATGATTTCGTTATGATAAATTGAATTTTAGATTTCTAGGTAAGTGGTGAGTTGGAAGTGATGTTTAATTGTGGGCAGAGCGGATAATACATACATCCGACCATCCGTTGTCACGCAACGAAACAGCGCTGCATTTCCACTTCCTTCTTTTCTTTTAAAAATTTAATAATTTGGCAAAACCTTCGACTACTCGATCACGAATGGGAACGTGAAAAAATACGATAAAAATTTAGGGTGTAATAATATTACGCGTTGCTGCCATTGTTATTATAAGCCCTCGTAAAAATAACGTCATTATCATTGCTATCAGATCGCAAGATTTTTCAATTTTTCAAATTTGTTTGGGGGTATGAACGATGCGTCGTGGAGCTTATAACGAAACGATTAATATTACTGCTGTATGACGACGAGACCTGATTGTGATGATCTCACCTCACTGTAATGAAGGCGGACACCATTACTTATTAAAGATTGACTTGGAAAAGTAATAATTCATTCAAATTATCGAAACCTTGTAACTTATTTATATAATACGAATGAGATAATAATGAAATTAAAGTATTATAGTATTCAGTATCTCTGGTAGGTAAGTCGAATGTCTTATCAAGGTCGGCTTAGTAAAATCACGGTGGTATAATGTAATATAATACGTGCAGAGTCGACTGGGCTTAAAAGGGGCGGTATTAGGAAAATTCATCGAAAGGTGGTCGACTGCAACACTATAACTACTTACGAATTAAGAATGAAATGAAAGAGAATGTCGCGACGACTGTTGTTGGGCAAATCAAAATGTGAAAGTACGACTGGTGGTGTTCTGACCTAAGTTTATCCCCCGCCGCCCCATCCATCACGTCGCCATGGAATTATCGACCATATAATCGAGGGCGTGCCCGTTTATCAAAGCTCGTGCTTATTATCCCTTTAACCATAGAGACACGGACGTGTGGAGAAACCGTGGGGGCATGAAAGAAGGAGCGAACGAGCGAGCAAGAAGCGAGTTTTCTTAAATGGAAAGGCGACGGCGTATTGTCAACGGATGCCCATATAAGTGCATCCACGGCCCGGCATCGAGATAGAGCGAGAGAGTGAGCTATAGAGAGAGGGGAGAGAGAGGGGGGAGAGAGAGAGAGAGAGAGAGAGAGGCACAAACGCACACAAGGCAGTCCTCGTGGTCGCTACTCCTCGAGCCTTCCTTTCTCCTCTCCGTCTTTCCGCTCCCGGCCGAGTTCGCGAGCAAGGCGCGCCTTCTTCGTCCGTCGCCCACACTGCCAAACGAGGGGCAGGCTCTGACTCACCAATGTCACCTCTATATATAGAGTCAGTCGTTGACCATTAACGAACAAAAAAAAAAAAAGAGAAAAAAAGAAAGAAAAAAGACAGGCGCACGCGATGAAAAAAGGAAGAAAATAAGTCGCAGCGGCCCAGTTTACTTCCTCTATCCGCGCGCACCTTTCATTGCCACGCGTACCAACCAACCTGAAATCGAGTGCGCTCGACTGTAAAATGGCGAAATTAGCACCGACTCTGAAATAGGACGGCGGTGCCGGCATTAATAGCAATGTAAAGATGATGCTCGCGCGCTTGATTAACGACACCTCGACACGGCGACTTTACACTTTTACACGCGATTGCGAAAAACGAGGAAGTGCGCCGCCGTTGTGCTGAGTAGTCGTCCGTCTCGTGGCTCCTTCCTTCTTTATTTTCTCTTCTTTTTTTTTTCATCCTGAATCAGGTCCAATTTCAATTTTAATATTAATTTTATTTAAGTACTAATATGTAACTGGCCAATTTTTACACAACAGCAGGCTATCGTTTGGTGTGAAATTTTAGAAGAAGCTCCACCGCGTCTCCTCCGCTACTCAGTATACTTTATTTAAATAACACTACTAATGCTACGTACGTACAACTATGTAGTTTTTGATTAGATGACACGTAAATGGACCTCCCGTGTAACGTGTATCGTATTACGCGGGCACGCTATGATATCCACGACAATATTAAGATTTTACATTGAAGGTAAGTGTCACCAAACGTAAAAAGAGTTATTGTCATTACTGTACATTGCCCTTTAAATTGCATTTATTACTCAACGAACGCCGTAAATAGTAAAATTAACGAGATCATGTAATCAGTTGTAGTTAATTTGCTCTCCTCTTAGGAAACAATTTCTGTGGCTAATTGGCATTATTTAGCAGGAAACTAACAATGCTGTATTAATTCACTAATTATATACTTCATGACTCATGTGACACTAAACAAGTGCCTGTGATTATGCAAAATATCGAACTACATTCGACAATTATAAAAAAAAAATTGCGTAATTATCGGTGGCAGACATGATTTTTTAATTCTTATTTGCATTTGCGAAAGAACAGTGCTAATCGCGATTTCGATTACAAAACATTGACTGACACATAGACTGTAAAAACGTTGGAAGAAAGAGAGAGGGGAGTAGAGAGTCAAGAGAACGAGCAGGTCCGAAATTTTACAAACAGGATAGTACATGAAATAGCTGGGGAGCCGCACACCGCGAATGCAACAGACTTTGGAATTTTCTCGGCGACAGCTGAACGAGGAACAGCTGCGCGATCCTCCTCCTCATCCTCATCCTCCTCCTCCTTCTCCTTCCCTTACGACCTGAAGCCGAGCCAACGTCGCTCGTCTCCCTCTCTCAACCCTTCGTCTTCCGTCCATCGTCCGTCCACGATCGTCGTGTCTCGCGCCATTCCCCCTCAACATTATTATACGAAGAAAAAGGAAATAACTCGGTTATAATTATAAGACACCTTATTTCATCTCTCCTATTGGAATCGATTTTAAAGTGCTCTGTGGTTGCATTGGCGTTGACGCCAAGACCCACACCATTCCCCCTCACCCGACGAATCCCGACAAAAAAGGAAAAATACGTTTAAACTCTAGGCGAGAAGGCGCTGGTCACACCAGAGTCCCGATGATTTTATTCTCGGATTATTTGCGAACAGGTATTTAAAAGCCCCCGGGGCGTCCTCGCCAACGAGTACGAACGAAGCGCACCGCTGCTGTGCGGGCATCCATTCGGTGCCAGCCGGCGCTTTATGAATTCTTAAGAGCAAGTTTCCCGAGTTAAAGGGAGCGGCGGCGAGCACGAAGCCGGGTAATAATCAATCTTGGTAGGCGAAAACGCGCGTCTCGTCTCAGTTTGGTTGACGGCTTGGAACCTCGCGACAAGCTGCGCAAGACCCGCTGTCCTTGATCCACACACGACACATCGGACGCGCGCGACACTCGAGTGTCACTACCTCCCGCCCCCTTCCCGCCCGTGCATGGCGAATCGACGAGGGTCGTGTAATTGTTGCGCAATAGCGCGCCACTCTTTGCTACATACGTGCGTATGCGTCGCCCCCCGAGACTCCTCGCCTCGCCCCGCTCATCGCCGTCGCTACGCACTCGAACATCCGATTTTGGAGTTACGACAACGACGACGACGACGACGACGACGACGACGACGACGACGACGACGACGACGACGACGACGACGACGACGACGACGACGACGACGACGACGACGACGACGACGACGACGACGACGACGACGACGACGACGACGACGACGACGACGACGACGACGACGACGACGACGAC